TATTTGGCAATAACCTAAACAGGAATTGATTTACATTTACTACTATATTTTTCTAGAACTATACGCACTATACGTATCACTATACGTATAGTATTATACGTATAGTACTGATCTGCCCATCTCTATATAAAAAGATAATAATGAAAGATTTAGAGCTCATCATTCAAAAAGGCTCAAACAATAATGATAATTATAGCATCCCAGCACAAGCAAGTTCTGAAAATTGGATTGTTAATATTGAAAAAACACCAGCAACATTAGAGAAAGAAAGAGCAATGAAAATTAAGAAAAAAATAAATATTAACTAGCAACTTTAATTAATGTATTATTTAAAATTATTTTTCAATACATTTTGCAGAACAGTCACAGATGAAATTTATTTATATATTTATTTGTTTTTTATTTTGGTTAGATATATCATTAAGATAAAAACATCTGACTTTCAAGGATATGTTAGGCAATGATAAGACAAACAACTCTTCATTTTTTGAGAGAGTTCAATTGAAAAGTGTTCACTATAATAACTACAAATTGCATTATATTTGTTTGTATGTTTACAAATAAAAATATAAAAATATAAATATAAATGTTTGACAAGAATCACGCGACTCACTGCAGTAAGTTGGTTTCGATTGATTGACATGGTCGGAACTTCAGTCCCACGATTTACTATCTCACAATAGTAGATCTGATGCAAATGAGTTTCATATCAACTATTTTTGTCTAGAGATAATCCTATATATCACCTAATATTAAGAAGCCAACAAATGTGAGATTTTAATAATCAATCACATTACTAAATTTTGATCCCTGTAATTCTTGGTAATACCAATGTTCACTTTGTCTGGTTTTGTTGCAGTATGCCCCATTTATGGGTGGATCTGCGCATAACCTTGGTGGGTTTTTTTACTAAGTCCTTCCAGGACAAATGAAGTCATTTTGGGCAGTTAGTAACACTGTGTGCAAATTTTTCCTCATGTAATTAATTACTTGTTCCAGAAGAAAAAAATGTTAATGTTGAAGAATTTATAATTATTTACAAATAAAATGATTTTTGATTTCTTAATAAATAAATAAATAAAAACAAAACAAGAATACTAATCTACAAATAATTTATTGCAAAAATTAATTAAAACAATATAATTAATATAATAATAATAATAAAATCCATCATTAAGCTTGTTTTTATTTGAAATTGACCAACAATTTATCTAATCGCCCAGCCAAGTCTGTGACACGTGAATCAACAACATCAATGTTTTGTTGAATTGCTTTATCATTTATTTCAAATGATTTCTCAAGCTAAATTATATATAAATATATACATATTAGATTTGATTATCAATTAGAAGAAATCAATTATAAAAAAAGTACACAAAAAAACTTCAAACCTTTTCTGCAACACCATCTAAACTCTTCAATTCTTCACTGATCTTATTTTGTTCACTGGTTAACATTTTAATTGTTTCACTGAATACTGAAGCTTCTTGATGTAATTGTTGTAAAGATTTCAAACGATTAACCAAAGCTGGTGCAATTGACATAAGAGGATCTACTTTGTCCAAAAGTGTAAAAAGATAGTTTATCTATATATATATATATATATATAAAATTAATTTGTTAATAATTACCTAGTCAACAAATATATTAAAATTAAAATTATTAATAAAATAAGCACCTTCTCTTCAGTTTCAAATGGAATGACACCACCATTTGAAAGTTCTTTATTCTTCAATTCATTAACTTTCTCCAGTTCACCAACCAAAGTCTTAGCTTTTCTGGAAATAGATTCCAAATGACGTGGTTGTGCCAATATTTGCATATGTTGATCAAGTTTATCAATGGCAGCAATTAAATTAGTATTTGTTATAGAGATTGACTATATTGCATTAATATATTATTATAATGATGATGTTATTAAATGAATTAATTCATAAATAAATATATTATTTATTAATAAGAACATACAAGATCTTCAAAATTTTGTCCATGAGCTGTACCAACAAGTTTTTCTAAAGCAGCAATACGATCATCAAGTTCAACTGTCTTGGCTAAAGTATGAACTCTTGCGGTCTCAGGTGTATAATATAATTCATATGTGATCATCTAATTTATTCATAGTAATAATAATAATAATAATTAATCAATTAATCAATTAATATACACTAATAATATTATTATTATTATCATCATCAAATAAAAAATATCCCTACATTTTTTGTAATTGCATCATCTAGATTGTGGCCATTAGTTTCAGTTGCAGTTGATGCATCTTTATCTTTTGAAATTCCATTTTCCTTGGGAACACCCGAGTGTTTGAAAGATTGTAATTGATTAATTAATTTTTTACTCAATTCAGCTTGTTTTATTATTGTCCCTTCCTTTTCATCTATAGAGTCTTGTTCACCTATATTTTGAGATAATCGACTAAGATCCTTCTGTAAACTGGATAATTGTTCAACCATAGCACTGTGAAGAGGTTTTTTAGGTTTTGATTCGTCATCCTATTGATATATATTTGTTAGAAAGAATGATTAAGTAAGTGACGATGGTTCATGTAATGATGTATATATAATCAATCAATCAATTGTTAATTATATTATTATTTATTTTTACTACCTTATCTTTTTCCAATTCTTCTTCAAGCTCTTGAGCTTCAAAAATCAATCTTCTCAATTTTTGTACAGAAGTTTCTTGCAATGTTGGTTCCTTAGAGATGTATTCATATTCATTTGTATCTAAAACAGGACGTTTAACATAAACTTTGTACATGTTTTTTTTACGGCGAGCTATACTATCAGAGAAATCTAAAATATAAATAACATGTATACATATAATATAATTAATGAAACAGTGATGAATATTTTTTATATTCATGTTCATATTCACACACATATATATATATAATATACCAGTTTCAGAAGCATCAATGACACTGTCTTTAAACTTATCAACAGCTTCACCCACAGAAATTTTTTCTTTGACAATATTTTCATTTGGTTCTTCAAGGTCAAGGTAATTCTAATAAAAAAAGATATTCCAGAATTTTTTGAATTTTTATTTTAAAACAACATAACAGCAAAATCTATAATAACAGTAATAGTAAATTATTTACCCCACCGTCTACAGTGTCATTTTCTTCGGGTGTATCAGGAGATTCATAAACGTCTGGTTGTGTGTCCTAAATAGCATTCATTAGCTTTTATCATTGCAAATAAATAAAAAATATTTGTTCAAAGAAAATAACCCACAAATGAGAACTTACAATATCTGGAAGATTAATATATTTACTTTGAGACATTTTTTAACAAATAAAAGCGTAATAATGAGCTAAAAATTTAAATAAACTTCCTTGATTAATTGTTAATTAATTAATTAATAAGATGCAAAAGATAAAAAGATGAGCATACTTTAAAAAAATAATGTGATTTTTCCTACTTTGGATGGACAGGCAAATGATTTTCACAATTTTTTAATTAAAAAAATTTTTTATTGCACGAGGATACTCGTCCTAAAAAGGAGTAAAGGCTGAAAAACCAAATTACCGCAATACCATTTTTGAGCTGAACGGCAATTCGGTTATATAGAAAGAATATTGTAATTTTATTTTAATGAGAAAAGTTACATTTAACAAAAATTTTATCAACATTTTATTATTAAAACTTGGTAAATAATAATAATGAATGAGAAAGGAAACACCTTAACGTTAAGAGCAAGCCTCGTTGTGTTATGAATTTCTCTCAATATATATTATATGATTGTATTTGGTTGCAATTATCAGAATAACCATCCTTCATTATTATTTTCTTACAAGTTTCTCTTGAAGAGCCTTTGACTTGTTGTGCAAGACATATCTTAGTGATTCAATATGACTTTAAACACCAAAAACCTTCAAGAATTAATTGACAAGCCATCTTCTATCCAAAATCTTATTATGAGCTCAACTAAAGATGGGAACTACAAATAGCTGCAATTCGATTTTTTATATGTCACAATTAATTGAGGAGCTATCTTTAAACTCAACTTCATTGAAAAATTTTACAGAAAAACAGCCCATTTCTGTACAGGATTTTTTATATGGGTTGGGGCTGTTAAATGAGATATTAAATTACACTTGAAAAAGTCATCAAGAAAATGCCCAACGAAACAGATTAGAAGATATCCATTAAGAGCTTCAAAGCGAATAGATTGTTAGATATGCAATTAAAATTTAAATCTGATAATATATTTTTGGTGATTTTTGAAAGTCATGTGATAGATAAGGCTTAAATTTAAATTTGATGTTGTTACTGTTTATATATTTATTACTATTACTATTACCAAAAAAATTTTCCGATAAAAATGCATGCTTATTATTACGATGACAACGATGGTTCAGACCCAAAAGAACCTCATGAAAAAAATCCACTTACCATTGTTACCCCTGAAGAACTTGCACATGCTGGTGTTTCATACTTACGTATAGAAGGAGAGGATTTTCTTGATAAAATTGAAAAAATATCTGAGGAAAGACGTTATAAAAATCGTGATGAAGTAATGATTTGATTTTTTTTTGGGGGGAGAATAATTTTACTATATTTAAATATATATATTTATGTATAAATAAATAGATTGTAGTCTCGAAAGAAGCATTAGGTGATATGTATGATAATAAAATGAAAATTTTTTTTGAAGAGTAAGTAAATGGATAGTTGATTAATTTTTTTATTTTATAAATACTAATTATAATTATTATGTTAATTAGACATCTTCATGAAGATGAAGAAATTCGTTATGTTCTTGATGGTTCTGGGTATTTTGATGTTCGAGGTATGTATATATATCTTTGAAATGTGGAAATATCCTTTTTTACATAAATTTACAAATATTTATGTTGAATTTGATTTAGATTTGCAAGACAAATGGATTCGTATTGCAGTCACTAAAGGAGATTTGATTATTTTGGTAATTAATAAATTAAAATATATTATTTAACATACACACACACGCACACACACACACACATATATATGATTAATGAATTAATAAATCAATTCATTCACTTTTATATGAAGCCTGCAGGAATTTATCATCGTTTTACAACTGACACCAACGATTACATAAAGGCTATGCGTAAGTATTTTATTATTATTCACAATTACTATTATAAAAGATGTTTATTTAATTATTAATAATATGTTTTTTAGGTTTATTTAAAGAGGTAATCTTTTCATTAATATTACAAATGATTAAAAAAAATGTATAATTTAACAACAAATTTATAATTTAATATTAATATTACAAGGAACCAAAATGGACACCAATTAATCGTAAGTTATTTCATTCATTTTCATAAAAAAAGAATCATTAATTCATATTTACATGTATGTATATATATTGGTATTTATAGGTCCAGCCGATGATAATAATTTTCGTAAAGATTATTTAAAATCAATTCAAAACTTTGGATCGTATAAATAAATAAATGAAAGGATTGTTTATCATTTTTATTTATTTTTTAAATAAATTATAAATTTATTTTTGTATGTACATAATATTTATGCGAGTATGTGTGATTTTTATCATCTATTTTTTTTTTCGTGCATTAGTATACTGCAACAAAGCAAACATGAACCTCTGCATCCTTCGCTGCGGTCATATGAACTCCATCATTTTCAAATGATTTCTGAAATAAGCCATACCAATTCTCAACATATTGACATAGGTTTTTTGGCAGAGAAAATCTGCTATGGTTTCAACAGTAGAAAGTTCTGTTATTGACGCGAGTTTTCTTTTTCTAATATCTATCCATTGCTATGAGTTGCTGGGCCATTAAAAAGGTGTCTTGTTCTGGCTTGAAAAAGGCTTGAAATGATCCATACAATTCTACCAACTCATTCTTTGGAACAAATGATGAACAACCGCAATCACTTGCTTTCAAAAAATCAATTACACGGTGTGTTGTAACAAAGCCAGATACCATAATTGTATTACCAAATTAATTTTTTCCCTTCCTTTCTTTTAATTATTCAATATCCACCACATAGGATAGACTATTGGAGTAATTAGCCAAAAGTGTAAATTCGATAAAGATTAGTTATCTCCCTTCCAGCTTGTTTTCGCTTTGTTGTTGAGATCTTTTTTTTGTATGAAATTCTTTGTAACTGCCTTTAACGCAAAGACAAAATAACATTTTCCGTGTCACGATCTCCTTCCAAAATCCGCAAGTCGTGCGACTTTCGTGCAGGTTTTATGTCGATTGTCTCTTTTTACGTATTAGTTGGTTTTTTCGGTTTTTGGCGCGATCAACGTTTTCATCATATTTAGCAAAAATTTGTCGTACGGCAAATTTTTTTATAATTGCTTCTGCAATTGCAGGAAAAATCTTTGTTTTCCAAACCTAATTTTTTAGAGAATTTTTTGCTTTCGATGGATGGCAATTTCAAAAAGAATGCTAAAAACAATTTTTTTTTTTACTATTATTATCATTTGTCCTGGTTTTTTTTTTTTGGATCATACCATTGATTGTTTACTTATAAGAAAAGCATTACGCATTTAATTAATCAACTGACAATCGAATTGATTATTATTACTAAAAATAAAGCGTCATGCGTTTAATTAAATTGACAATTGTATTGATTATTTGTTTATTACTAAAAATGCTTCAATCATGCCTATATATTCATTTTGCAAAGCTGGATTACAAGCTTCATAGATCTTGACTTAAACACTTACTTTGATCAAACCCGCTTATATAATTATTGAATAATTGATAAACATTCGTTTTGTAAACTTCATAGATCTTGTCTAATATTTACTTCGATCAAACAATTATTGAATAATTGGTAAACATTCGTTTTGCAAACTTCATAGATCTTGTCTAACACTTATTACCCGCCTATATGATTATTTAATAATTGATAAAGCGTCATTAAATATATTTTACAAACAGCTTAATAGATCTTGACTTTGACGATTACTTCGATCAAACCCGTCTATATAATTATTCAATAATGATTTACAAATAGATCTTGACTTTAGCATTTATTTCGATCAAACCCGCCTATACTTGAATAATTGATAAAACGTTCATTAGGGTCTGGGTCACTTTACCGACACCCACTTCACCGACAGAACACTTCACCGACAACATACGGGGTTACTTTTAACCTCCACACAATCAAACAACTAATAAAACGCTAAAATATCACGCCGCGTGTTGTCGGTAAAGTGGACGGGATCCTTTTGGGTGGTGGCGAAGCATCTTTTTCTTTAATGGAGATCATAACGTTGACTTGTTCATTTTATAAGAAAAGCATCGTTTATTTATTATTAATTAATTGAAATGATTATTGCTTAACTAATTAAAATGCTAAAAAATATTTTTACTATTATTATCATTTATCCTGTTTTTTTTGGATCATACCATTGATTTAGAAAAGCATTATGCGTTTAATTAATTAATTGACAATTGAATTGATTATTTTGTTTTCGTAATTATTTAATATCTGAAATAATAATAATTACAAATTAGAATATCCAAATTAAATAATTTTATATATCAAGTATTCTTAAACTAATTATGTTTAGGAATATTCAGATAGATGAGACTATCTGTATTTTTTTATCATTATTTTTAAAAGTTAAAAGTATTTGTTCGTAAGAAAATGTTTAGTTCATTTCGGAGTAATTCTTTTTACTATTTAATTGTTACAACAATATTCATGAATATTTAAAAAAAGAACCTTTCTGTATATAGGATATTCCTATTTAAATATATGAATTTTATACCCACAATCCAGGACCGCTCCTTAAATAACAGAAAACTGACAAATTTAATAGCC